GGAAGGAGGAGGGAGGAGGGGGATATGGCCTTTCTAAACCCGTGTGTTTGGGGAGACACACTTAGCTTACAAGCACACACAAGGGTGGCTCCCTAGGACCCTGTAAGGGAAAGGAGCCACCCTAAAACAGGATATCAGGACCAGTGTTCAGGGGACCAGATAATTTGGCAGGCAACTAAAACTTCTAAACCTCAAGGAACAGCATTCCATTGTAAGTGATTTCATCAGCATTTGAAACAGCTTAAAAACATTTTGACTTTTATATCATTTTGAAGGAATGTAAAATTCCAGTAAAGTGGATGGACCATTGAGGTAATTTAACCTTTTAATTGTGTCTAATTGATCATACAGTACATATCTGGTAAGTGGTTTGCAGGGGAATGTTTCAGTTCTGGGTGGATGAAATGCTCATAGAGAAGAAGCTATTATTAGGTTCTCTAAGGGACCTTAATGTTCATTTGGGAGTCACCTGCTAGTCTGTGGTCACTGTGAATGACTATGGAGATCACAAGTACTGTATTACCATGATACTGTATATTAAACACAGGGGTTGATTTACTAAAATAAATATTTATGTTTATTTTGAATACCCGTTCACACGCTAGTTTTTTTTTTCTTTTCATCAACATGCTTGGGTATACAAAGTATACCTTATTACCTAATATTAATTTTGAAAAGTTAACATTAATTTTGCTAGGTGAACAGCCTCTGCCCCTTTATTGTTTTTTTAGCCATTTCCACAAGTACAATGCACAAAAGATAATACAACTGTAGAAAATATGCAAAATACTAAACAGTACAAGTAGTCAAGACCTTGCAGAAAGCAAGATAACCAGAAAACAGTATTAAGACCAGGTTAGGTTCTCTATGGTTGGGTAATACTTGGGATGTTCAGATATCAAATACTGTACTTGGTACAAGTACAGATATAATTCCAGCTACTAGACTAGACTAGAGAAAAACTCAAAAGTTAGGAGGCAGCTGTCATTTTTAAGGAGCATTGACTACGAAGCTCCTGGAATTTGTGCATCTGTTTTATTGTATGATTTGTTATATATATATATATATTGTGGCAGCAGGCTGATAAAAAGCTCTGGGTCTAGGTTCAGGTGTTATACAAAAGGTTGTCCTCTAGGGGTAAGTGCTGAGAGGGCTGGAGGCTTGGAGGTAACAAGCCCAGCTGAAGCTAGCTGGCTTGTTAGGGCCTCTACAAGAAGTCCCAGCCTCCTACGAGAACAGTTCCACCCTAGAACCAGACTGTGTGGCGGGTGGACTGGGGAGCAGACAGCCTGTGTGGCAAACGAGCAGCCTGTGTGGCAATCGGCCTGTGTGGCCAGACGTTTTGTTAAAGGACCTATCTAAAGTCAGTGAGACTGAAAAGTGTAACTTTTGCTGAAGAAAAGCTGTATGTTATGTTTGAAAACTCCTGTGAGAGTAAACCTGTGGGGACTTTTGAGTTGGAATCAATAAAAGTGGGCACAGAAGCCCTTAAAAAGAGGTCATAAGCGAGTGGAAGAGTCCTTAATGCGCTACCATTGGAAGCTAAATCCTCACAATATATACAGTATTTGTAGTCAGAGCCCCACTGATATGTACCCGAGAACCGAGATAACGAACATGCCTACATTGACCTTGGAATGTGCCATGGTCACTATGGTCAGTATGCAACATAAGGGGGCATACTCAGAGTAAATGTTACTAAAAGGGGTGAGGCGGGTGGGGTGACACCTCCCACAAATACAGCAAACTAGTTAGCTAACACTTATACAAAAAAATAATGCATTAAAACAGGAATGCACAAATCACAGGAGCTCCGTAAGCTCCTTTAAAAATGACAGCTGCCTCCTAACTTTTGAGTTTTTCTCTAGTCTAGTTTTGGAGCTGGAAAAGTATTTGTACTTTTACTTGTACCGACCGAGTACGGTACTTGGTATCTAAACATCCCTAATATTTACCTTTATAGATACTTCCTTTTATAAAGGTGACAAAGTTTTGTCCCTGTCTCACAATTGTTTTCCTATGTTGTCCCCCTGTCACATGTGCCCAACAGTGATGTATTCTGGTTTTGTGCTGCCCTAGGCAAGACTAAAGCCGGGCACCCCCCCCATATCTACATTTGCCCCACCCCTTTTCACCTTTGAGCCCGCCTCTTCCTCGCTGTACATTATAAGGGGATTATGAATGCCTGTGCGGGGTCTCAGGAGGCTATGCACCGTCTCAGGGAGGCTGTGTTTCAGCAATGCCCGGGTTCTGGTATAGTGCGATTGCAAAAAATAGTGCATGCATTTATGTCATGCACTATTTTTAGCGATCGCACCAGAATGGCATTGCTGTACCATGTGTTCTGGTGCGGGTGATCGCACTGTGGGCGGGTTAGGCATGTCTGCAGTGCCATTAACTTGAATGGCACTGCCACGCACCCCTCCACCCCAGTACGCAGGGAGGCTTGCTGTATGCGATCCAGTACGTTCCGGCCACTAACTGTGCCGGAACAAGCTCTAAATATGGTGCAGGTGATCTCACTGTGGGCGGGTTGGGCATGTCTGCAGTGCCATTAACTTGAATGGCACTGCCACGCCCCCTCCTACCCTAGCAGGCAGGGAGGCTTGCTGTATGCGATCCAGTGCGTTCCGGCCACTCACTGTGATGGAACGCACTGGATTAGGTGTGAACAAGCTCTAAATATAATGGTTTCCAGCACATCTGCTTACAGGTATATATAATAGATTGCAGGGATCTCTATACCTGTGTCACAAAGGTATAGAGATTTATTATATATACCACAGTCTATGTGCAGAGATCTATTAAACAAGGCTGCCTGTAGCACACACTGCACTTGCAGTGATCTTTCAGTGCTCCAGTCCACGGGACCCCATCCCCCACACTGCTCTGCCCAGTCCCTTACCTTCAGCAGACAGATAGCAGCTGACCTCCCTGGGCCGCCACTGGTCCACCTGTGTTCAGGTCCCTGGGGGTCTTTGCTTCGTTCTCCGGCCGTCCATTTCCACGGCTTTGCTCTTGAAGCCTGAGAGCAGAAGACTCTCCTAGCCCCCAGCCTGTCAGCAGTGAGTATTCTTCTGCTCGCCTCGGCTGTAATGTAATGGAGAAAATGAAAGTGGCAGCAGCTCGCGGTATACTGAGCCTAGGGTGACGGGAGGACGCTAGTTTGTGTCCTATCGTTACCCTAAGGAGAACTATGGGGAAAAGCCTTAACCCCATAGTTCTCCTTTGAGCTGGCCACAGACCTTACAACCATCGCAAGACTTTTGTCTTGCGATGGTTGTAAGGTCATTCAAAAAAAGTACGATCTGCCCATCTTGGACAGGCAGATCATACTTGCGATAATCTGATGACCGCAATGCTGAGCAGGCAGTGTGCGCTTGCGGCATTTATCTTACGAACATGCCACACACCCGCCGAGAATCGTACGATTCTCGGTGGGTTTTCGAACATGTTCCTAAGATAAAAGTCGTGCGACCTTACAGTAGCAGAGGTCGCACGCCTTCCACACACCTTGCGATAATCGTACGATCGCGGGATTTCCCGCGATTATTGTACGATTATCGCAAGGTGTGTGGGCACCTTAAGAATCATAGAAGTCGGTTGACTCTAAAGGTGCACATACACCTTACGAGTATCGTATGACAATAGCAAGGTGTATGGGGGGTGTACAACCGTAAATACTGTACAATCGTACGACTTTTGACTTTCAAGCATGTTTGAAAACTTCGGTCGATCATACGATTATTGCAAGGTTTCCGTACCTCAAAAATCGTACAATCTACACTGCTCATGCGCAAACTAAATTACGTGCGGTTGATTACCGCAATTCGTCCAGGTGCTTTTGTTTAATTACGGCTAATTGAACCTTGTGATAATCGGGGCATAATGGGGCAGCCTACGGCAATCGTACGCCGGTTCAATCATCGGACGAAAAGTGTCATCCGATAATCGGATGGGCACCTTTTAGAATCGAAAGAGTCTACTGAGTTAAAGAACCGTGAGTCATCAGAGGAGTTACTGAGTCATAAGAATCGTGAGTCACCACCAGTAGAACAATACACTGAATCAATGAGCAGGTTGAAGCAGTGATAAGGGACAGAGAGAGTTTAGATTAGAAGAGATCCTCATTCAGATTGATGGTTTAACCCTTTAGGATCAAATTGGCTTCTCAAGGAGATATATATGTTAAAGGTACAGACATCCCTTCTGAAACATCTGTCTCATTCAGTAGCTATATAACTAAATGAGAGAGCTGTCTTTTTTTTAATAACATAAAAATACATTTAAACCTCCTTTTTAATTCTATTATTTACCCCTCCAGTCCTGAGTTTTTCCCTGTATACTTGGATTTGTTTAGTTCCGACAACCATGACCTCTACAGTGGGGGAGATAATTACACATTTACAAAAAAATTAAAAATAAAATAAAAAATAAACAATTTTTGGTTTAAGTTTTTATTTATTTTATTATTTTTCACTTAACATATTTTTTCACTTAAATTTATTGATAGCGTTAGGATCAATGTTCCTCAGGAGCTGCCTGACACCCTTCTCTGAATCAGAGTCCTCTGATTCTGCTCTTCTATGAAAGTTCAGACAGCTCCTGAGCTTCGGTTCACTTGCTTGTCAGCCTACTCAGCAAGTGAACCGAAGATTTGATTCATAAATCGGTTCTTTTGAATGAACTGATTCAAATGAACCGATTCATTTAAAAGATCCGAACTTTCCATCTCTAATCAGAAAGTGACTGACAGCAGTTCTTGGAGTGCATGCATTCAGACAGGAAGTGGCTGAACAAATAATACATTTTACTTTAAATTGCAAATACTATTGGCCATGAATTAAATTAATCTTACAGACAGCTATTAATGTCTTATCTTCTTATCCGATGTACGCATTGCACCAATAAGCAACATGGAAGAGATCTAAGTTATACTTGGATTGAAAAAATTAGCAGATTAGTAAAAATTACCGTAATGCAGAAAACAATAAAAGACATTAGCTTGCAATTTTCAGCCAGCTCTCCATTACATGAAAGGCGGCATGAAGAGGCTCAGTGAAGTTGGCAATGAATGTATGTAAGTGTTTTACTGAGTCACTCAGCTCATAAAAGGAAAGTCTACCAGCCTCATAATCCAGATATATTCCAAACCTCTGAGAGGAGACATTGAGATCAATGTCATTTTTGTCATGTTCTACTGAATACCATTTTTCAGATGTATCCAATTGTGTCAAACATAAAACCCATGACTTATTATCAGCACCAAAGTCTTCTCTTCTTTCTACGCTGGGATAGGCCACCCCCACTTTCCAACTACCAGAGTCACTTGCTTGCACTTCCCAGTAGTGCTGCCCTGATGAAAAACTTCTGGTGCTAAAAGTTTGAAAATACTCAAATTGTTCTGGTGATTGCTCATGTGATGGATGTAATGTACCTTCAGAAATTATCTTTCTGTCTCCTGATATTATTATTCCACCACTAGCTGTGGAAGTATCTAGCAATATATTTGATGCTTCCTGCACATAGAACCCGTTCTTTACACCAGACACAATGTTAGTCAAACCTGAATGAAGCATGGTGGAGATAATGCCTTCATCTAAATAATCTACAGTAGAGTCATCCTCTTCTCTCTCCATATCTTTCTCAGCATCACAAAACTGTGCACAGTCTTCCTTCCATCCTTTTAAAATTGTCAATGGATCAGTTATCTTGCACATTTCCTCAATGTGAAGTATTTGTGCCGACAGCTCGTCTTGTTTTAATTGCAGCTTTGTAAGTAAATCAGATGTGGAATGTACAATTTGGTGTTCCTGTCTGGCAATCTCATCCATGACACCTTTCTCCAGGACATCAATCTTCTCTCTCATGTCTCTAAACAGATTATTCACACTCTCCGTTACTCCAGCAGCTTTTTCTATCACTTTTCTCTGGTGTTCCTGCAGACTTTGCACCTTGTTATCAGTCTCCTCTTGCTTGAAAGTGAGCTTTTGTTGAACACTCTTCAGATGTTTCTTTTGTAAAAATGCCTCACTTAGTCTTTCCACCAATCTCCCTCTATGTCTATATTCCTCTCTTTCCAGGATGCAGCAAACACAAACACCCGAACCATCCAGAGGGCTGAAGTTTTGCAAGACTTTCTTGTGAATGGGACAGTTCCTGTTCTCTGATAATGTGCTGCTTTCAGAGAAAACATTCTCCTCAGTGGTAACGTGGGCATTCAGGTGGACCTCACAAAGTGAAGCTTTACATAGGTTGCCACAGCAGGAGCTTGATTGTGAATGCGGTACGTTGTCCTCAGACTCAGACGGATGGAAGTACTGCGTTATATTACACAATATTACATTTCTCTGCAGTGCAGGTCTCACCTTAAATCTTTTCCTGCATTCAGGACAGGTGAAAACTTGACTTCTTTCCTGGCTGTCCAGTACACTGCTTATACAGAGTTCACAAAACGTATGCCCGCATCTTATTGTGACAGGATCCCTCAAAATGTCCAGACAGACAGAGCAGTTCAGCTGGCTTCTCAAGTCCGTAGTCGCCATTCCAAGCACAGAGAGAGAAATTGAAAACGAAAGTCACTGTGTGCAGTTATGTAGTTTTTCCCAAACAGGGCGTGGTGATACGGTGACTCATGATTTATCATTTTTTTATAATGTTATAAAACACAAACGAGGGAAAACAAGAATTAAAAGTACAATTTTGTGAAAAAAAACCCTCTTCTTTATTTTAGCCCAAAACAAAAATGCTTTCTTCAAGAAAACTAGAGCAAAAAAACTTTCAAGGAGAATTATGAGGTGAGTGATTTTCACTCAGCCTCATAATCTGAGCCGACCTGTGACAATGAGACTGTCACAGGTCAGCTCAGTAGATCTGGAAGTGAGTGAACACATACCGTCGCTCGCTCACTTCTCGATCTATCCCTGCAGAGAGCCGTGGCAGGGGAGGGACTGGATTTCCCTCTCTCCTGTCCGATCTTCCAGCGCTGACTGGCGGAACAGATGGGGGAGGGGGCGGGTACAGCTGGCTCTGCCTCTAGATAGGCAGAGCCAGCTGTCACTCACGCAGGTGGATCAGACATAATTGTCGGGATCCGTTCTGGCTCGCGGTATACTGAGCTTTGGGTGACGGGATGATGCTAGTTTGTGTCCTCCTGTTACCCTTAGGAGAACTATGGGGAAAAGCCCTGACCCCATAGTTCTCCTTTAACAGATAGGGCAAAAGAGCACACAAGCACAAACAGAAAATTGAGCAGCCCCATGCTAATCATGCCGGTTTTCTTACATACTGTGCTTAAGAATAAAATCTAATAAAATATTTTATATAAATAAATCTTGAACCCTTCTGCTACCAAGGCTTTTTTTGTGTGTGTTTTTTTTAACGCATGTTATCATACTCATTTTAGGCCTGAGAATTACTTAAAATCCTCCAGGATTATATATTTCCTGAAATCAGAGACCCTGTAAAAAAAAAGCGGTGGCAGTTGCACATTTTTACATAACATGATATTAGCGCAACTCTTTATCAAACCCAAAATTCAGTAAAAATTACTGTCAGGGACCAGAGCACCTCCAGGTGGTACTGTGGATCCGGGACCTGATCCGGCAGTTCCAGTGCTAGCCTGCAGGTGTCTCCCAGCAATTAGGCACCACCTGGTGCTGATTTGGGAGGGTATTTAACCTCTCCCTGCGGTGAAGCCTGTGCTTCAGTATTGTTGCCATAGCCTCTATCCTGTTGCCTGTATCCTGTTCCTGTTGTCTGTATCCTGTTCCTGCCTTGTACCCTGACTTGGACCTAACTCCTGACCCTTACCCCTGAGGTCTCTTGATCAGTGGCTCCCTCCTTTTTGTTCTGCTCCCCAGGGGTTGACCTGTTGTTTTCCGGGGTGTAATTGTTGCTTACAGTTTTACATGTTACTTGCGGGTGGTGGTGGCGGGGGTGTTTATGGTTGTGGTGTTTTGGTGCAGCTAATAAATTATAGTTTGTAAGCATTTGTGGTCACATATTGGTTCTCTTGTATAGACACCTGCACGTGGTTTGAGGACACCCGTGCACGGTATCGTGACAATTACCCTTATGTTAATTTTAGTGCACAGAAACACAATATAATATTAAATTTTTTGTAAAACATGAGGTTATGATGAGTAAATAGATACCCAACATGACAAGCTTAAAAATTGTACGCGCCCATGAAATGGGGACAAAATAGGTACCCCAAATTGTCCACAGGCGATGCTTTAAAAGTCTGTACAGGTCATCAGTTAATAGTTATTCATAAATATTGGCCCTAAAATAATTGTTTTCACTCTGGCGCACATGGTGATTCCCAACATATGTAGCGCAATCATTGTTTTAGTACATAGATGCCTGTTGGCACTAGTACGCGCACATTTGTGGGAAAGGGGTACTTTACATTTTTTTTAGTATTTATTTATTTTATTTCATTTATTTTAGCTTAAAGGGACATTAAACCCTCAGATTTTTTAACATAAAACAATACTGTAATGTGCGCCTTACTGTAATCCATGGTTGTTTCCCTTCTCTTTGCTGCTCTTCCTTTTAAATCCTCATGTCTTCTCATGCTTGGGGAGAACTTCCCTTTTCAGCTCAGGGCCTCTTCCTGTAGTGCTGGCTCAGGTTTCAAGCCTATACAAACGTATACACAGACACCGTGTATCCATTCCTGAGACAAGGCAGTCTGCTGCAAAACAGAAGTTCTGCAGAGCATGAGAACAGATACAGATTTAAAAGGAAGAGCAGCAAAGAGAAGGGAAACTACCATGGATAACAGTAAGGCACACATTACACTATTGTTTTATGTTAAAAAATCTGAGGGTTTAGTGTCACTTTAAGTCTTTTTTTAAAGGCAAAATGTTTTCTTTGTAATCTCTCCATCTCTATGCATAAGCCGTTTGGTGAAACATGTTAGAGTTGGAGAAGCCTGCGTTTGTTTACAGCCTTAGTTCTCAACTGGTGGGTCGTGACCCAAAAGTGCGTTGTGACTCCATGTTCAGTGGGTCACCATGTGCTTTTCACTTTTGTAGGTGAGAGGCTTCTCAGCCTCCCCCTAGCGCAGCACTGTCCCTATGTTGCTAGGCCCCGAATGTCAGCTTGAGGTGGAGTGGGCTGGGGCTATGGCCGCAAGAGAGCTCCATCCATACGTGAATTGCTTACAGCTTTCTTGCATGTCCTGTAGAGTGACTGGAGTGACATCTCATTCTGGCTCCCGGCACCTCTACAGGGTGCACAAGGGAGTTGTACAAGCAATGCACATATGGCTGCAGCTCCACACTGGTCCCCAGGCCAGCACAGCAGCCAACACCGTACACCAGGCTGAGGATCCACAACAGTTCTGGTAAGGTAGGGAGACTGGGTGTTTAAAAAAAAAAACAAAAACATTTTTTTGAGCGTCTATATATATATGTGTGGGATTGTGTCTGTGGTTGTGTGTGCCTGTCAGTGTTTTTGAGGGCCCGTTCACACTAGTACAGTGTGTTAATCGAACAGTCTTGTGCGATTAATGCACAGTACCATGCAATCGCACCTACTACATGTTCTGGTGTGGGAGGTGCGTTACGTTGCCATTCATTTGAATGGCACCCCAAACGCACCTCCCGTCCACAGTTCAATTGCCTGCACCGGAACATGCGGAACTTGGGTTGCAACTTAATGACCAAGGACAAATGTGGGTCCTGAGGTTACACAGGTTGAGAACCACTGGTTTACAGCATGTTTTGACCCTGAGACTAAACATTGTCCAGCTTGTGATGCCAGTCGTTTTTGTGAGAGCCAGTATCAAGCTACAGTGTGCTTTTCTTACCTGCAGCGACAAGAGGGATGAGGCTGTGAGACCACATGAGGTGGGTGATTTCCACTCATCCTCATAGTTCAAGCCGACCTGTGACAAGAAAACTGTCACAGGTCGGCTCTATTGATCGGGAAGTGAGTAGAAACTTGCAGTGATCTGCTCACTTCACGATCGTCTCCCTGCAGTGAGCGGTGACTGTCAGTCATCGCTCCTCGCAGGGATTCCTCCCCTCTCCAATCCTCCAGCGCTGAGTGGAGAAACGGACGGGGGAGGGGGCGGGCACAGCTGGTTCTGCCTCTAGATAGGCAGAGCCAGCTGTTAATCAGCCAGCTGGGTGGATCTCGACAGCATTGTCAGTATCTGCCACGGCTGCCGCGATCTCAGTATATAGTGAGCAGGAGCTCGCTATATACTGAGCTTTGGGTTACGGGAGGACGTTAGAATATGTCCTCCTGTGACCCTTAAGATAACTATGGGATAAACAGGTTACCCCATAGTTCTCTTTTAACTTTATTGCAATCACATAGGGGGATCACAAGCCCCCTATGTGAGAGCATATTGGTGATGACAGGTTCTTTTTATGGTGACATTAGGGGTCTACCCGACCCCTAGTGTCACCTTTCCCCTTCAAAGAGGCTATTCAAGTTTTAATTGTGTAGATAGAGAAGCCGGGGAATGACAGCTGACATGTGATTGCATCACTTCTGGTTCCATTCAGCAGGAAGGAGATAGGTGAATGGATGTGCACCGTTCTCCCCCAGTGGTGCCAGTCCCGGGATGCAGGAGGCAGTGGCGCCTGGGAAGCAAGGTGGGGTGTTGGATGGGAGGGGACACTTTACTGGCCCTTGGAAGAGATCTGGCAGCAGCTCAACTGCCAGAATTGCTTCCAGTGTAAAGCCAACAGTCAGCTTTACACAGGTAAACCGAGCCTATTTACAGGGGCCCGAAGCCAGCAACGATGCTGCACCAGGACATATAATATAAGGGCTCTAAAATGTTTACATACAGTGTTTATCCCGAGCCACACTCGGGATTACACTGTAGCGTCACTTACCTTGTCCCTACCAGCCCCACTGTGTCCTCCAGCCGATGCTGGCATCCGTCTTCCGGGTTCCGTCCCTTGCGAGCACCCGCATCGCAGGGGACGGAACCGGCAAGAAATGTAAAAGTAAAAAATATAAATAAAAAAAAAAAAAAGATACTGCGTTAATCAGACCGCCAGGGAGGTTAATGGTCTTATTAGGCTATTTCCCATGTGGGTTTAACATAGTCAGCTATGTTCAGTTTGGGGATCCAATTCTGCCCAAGGGAAATTAAAACGTTTTTCTTAGCATCTGACTGAATGATAAAATTAAAATTAGGGTTTCACCTCGTTCTTTTTTCATTTATATTTATTAAGATTCAACATCCATCACATTCTCAAATAATTCATCCCCTCACAGCTACCTCCTCATGTATAATTTCCCCCTCCTCTTTTAGATTGTAAGCCCTCAGGGGCAGGGCCCTCCTTACCATCTTGTCTTGAATTGTGTTGTGATTGTAATGTCTTCCTTATATTGTAAAGCGCTGTGCAAACTGTTGGCGCTATATAAATCCTGTATAATAATAATAACATACAAGCTAGAGAGAAGAATGCACCACATGTATGTGTTACATATAACATGAGATGATGGTTACATTTGTAATTTTTACATGCTTACAATATATTTTTAGAGCTTTTTAGGTACACGCTGACAAGCAATAGTTTATTATTTCAGATAGATTAAAGTGAATGTAAACCCAAAAACAAAAATGTCATTAATTCTCTTTTTTTCAGACATTTTTTCCTTAACAGAGAACTATGACCCAACCTTTTTCAACTTTTTCAGGCCATAGTTCTCTTTTGGGTCACAGAAGGACATTAACTATGTCCCATTAAGGAAGCTGGCTGGCGTGTAATGACTCACCGCCCTGGCTTCCTGATTAGCCAGGAAGCCAGCTTCGTGCTCCCTCGTCAACCGGTATCGAGAACATTTGGGCGAGTACAAGTATACCAATATAGATATCGGTGCATCCCTAATTTCCAGTCCATCCCAGATGCCTCAGTGGACATTTCTTTAAAACTGTCTTTCTTGATGTGATTTATCGCCCTCCTGGACCAGTATCAAACTTCCTTAACCTCTTGCCGTCCGCCCGTTAAGAAAAAACAGACGGACGGCTGACTCCTGTCTGCGGGTTGCCGTCGCCAGACGGCATTTTTTTCCTGCTCGCGCGCGCCCCCTAGCGCGCGCGCACGGGCAGGAAAGACCCGCTTGTTACTACAGCCGTTAACGGCTGTTTCACATACAACCGATCGGCGGCTCTATAGCCGCCGATCAGATAAATGGCCTGGATGGGAAGGGGGTTTAACACCGCGGATGTCTACTGGTTAATTACTTTTTTGCCTGGCTACCATATTTTCTCTCCTGCAACCCTGGCAAACAAGCAACACCAGATGTCTCAGACAGAGAAATATCCTTAGCCACTCACACAATGCTGTACAATTATTGTGTAAGTTCAGACATGTTATGTGGAAAGTCCCTTCAGGAATTTACAGTATCATATAAATATGAATACTTATTAACTAAGAACGGGTTAAGTATTTACTAGCAGAAATGTTCTAGGTTGTATACTGAATAGCTTATATTTGATTTTCTATCAGTACATTTCCTGTTTTTACCATTCGTAATCAAATGAAAGGTTGAACATTTACGTGACACTAGTAGTAATTGTGCTCCTTCAGTTCATGTCTATGGTGCCATGAAACTGTGATGAACAGTAGATTCATGACAATGGAAAATGAAACATTTGCACCGTTTGGTTCCTGTATTTATCAAACTTTTATTACAATATTTTAAAAGATTTAAGCTACACAGTGGGAAGAAAGATAATTCACACACCACACACAGTGTGTAAATTATCATTAAAAAGCTGTATGTTGTGTGGAGGGCAACTGCAAAGTATATAAATCTTACCTTGTAGCATGCTGTCCCCTGCACAGAACAACGAGCTTCTGGGCACTGAAGAGAGACAGAGATGCATCCCAAGCTGTACAGCGCTCCAGTCGCATTACCCGCCCACCCTCACTATTCTCCATTAGGATACTGTATTGTATTTTTTTAAAGAATGCAAGCCATTCTGTGATTCAATCACAGAATGCCTTCTATTCTTTGAAAAAAAAGAAAACATTTTGTGACATCACCAATGAATAAGAAAATGGACCAGAAATCGGGGTATTTTTTTAACACCTATCCATTTTACAAGGTGTGTGTGTGTGTGTGTGTCTGTGTGTCTCTGTGTGTTTTTTACAGGCCTCTCATACTGGAGCCTAGCGTCTGAAAAACTTTTAACAGAACTGTCTTCATGGATGATGTTGTTCTATAAATAGGATTAAAGGAGAACTATGAGGTGGGTGATTTCCACTTATCCTCATAGAGCCGACCTGTGACACAGAAACTGTCACAGGTCGGCTCTATTGATCAGGAAGTGAGCAGAAACATGCAGCCGATCCGCTCATTTCCTGATCATCCCCCTGCAGTGAGCGGTGACTGTCAGTCACAGCTCACCGCAGGGAAACCCCCCTCCCCCCTCCGATCCTCCAGCACTGACTGGAGGAACGGACGAGGGAGGGGCGGGTACAGCTGGCTCTGCCTCTAGATAGGCAGAGCCAGCTGTCACTCACGCAGCTGGGTGGATCTTGACAGTATTGTCCGGATCCGTCCTGGCTGTGGTACTGCCAGTATATCGCGGGCAATAGCCCACGATATACTGAGCTTTGGGTCACGGTAGGACGGTACTATATGTCCTCCCGTGACCCTAAAGAGAACTATGGGGATAAACACTTACCCCATAGTTCTCCTTTAAGAGACTCTGTCAACAACATATGAAATTGCAGGTAAAAGCATAGAAAACACAAAACGTACTATAACCCCTTCACTGCTAAGGCTTTATTTTTTGTGCTTGCAGACACAGGTTTATCCACATTTTTGGCCTGAAAATTAGTTAAAACCCCCCAAAACATATATATATTCTGAAAACACAGACCCTGTAAATAAAATGGCTTTCATGTGTTTTGCACTAAAGAGAGGCTTCCGTCTAGCCACTCTGCCATACAGGCCAGATCGGTGGAGGGCTGCAGTGATGGTTGTCCTTCTGGAACTTTGTCTTATCTCCACACAGGATCTCTGGAGTTCAGTCAAACTGACTATCGGGTTCTTGGTCACCTCTCTTATGAAGGCCTTTCTCCCCCGATTGCTCAGTTTTGGCGGGGCTTCTTCCATTTGAGAATTATGGAGGCCATGTGATCTTGGGAACCTTCAGTGCAGCAGAATTTTTTTTGTAACCTCCGTAGATCTGTGCCTTGCAATAATTCTGTCTCTGAGCTCTGCAGGCAGTTCCTATGACCATAATGGCTTTTGCTCTGATACAGTATGCATTGTCAGCTGTAAGGCCTTCTGAGGAGAGGTGTGCGCCTTTCCAAATCCTGTCCAATCAATCTAATTTACCACAGGTGGACTCCAATCAAGGTGTAGAAAAATCTCAGCAATAGTGATGGGCTGAAGAGGCCCGAGTTCGGTTCAAATACGAACTTTCGAACAGAGCAAACGTTCGTATTCGAACTCGAACTCAATGCAAGTCGATGGGGGTAGAACGTTCAAAAACAAATGTCCCCTTTAATAGAGCTTATTGCCAGTTATTGGCCATAAAAGGTGTATGGGGATCCGGTTACTGATCTGGGGACAGGAATTAATGAAAAAAAAAAGTTTTCATCACTTAAAGGGTAACAATAAAAATGTAAATCTATACAATGTATAGAACCTGCTGCAGGAAAACTGACATTTCTAAAGAAAAAAAAAAGAAATTTTGTTTTTCTTAAAGTGTGCAGTTCCCCGTTCCAAACAATACCAGACCCTTTAGGTCTGGTAGGAATGTTAGGAGGGACCACATTTTTTTTTAAAAAGTGTGGGGTTCCTCCCAAAAGTCATACCAGACCCTTGATCAGAACATAGGCCTGGCAGGTCCAAAAAGGGGGGTGGGCGAGTGAGCGCCCACCCCTCCCTCCCATATCAGGCCACATGCCCTCGGCACTGGGATGGTGCTTTTCCAGGGTCACCCCTGGAAAAGCACCCTATCTCCGTGCCGATGGGGACAAGGGCCTCTTCCCCAAGCCCTGGGGCGTTGGTTGTGTGGGATTCGGGCAGGGGGATTATTCACATCAGGGTACCCCTTTAATAAAGGGACACCCAGATTTCGCCTCCCCCTATGAATGAGTCAATCACAACGTCCAGTGTTGCCCACAACGACGACGACTCGTCAAAATAAAAAATAAAACAATAAAAAAGAAATAGAAATAAGAATTTTTAAAAAACCCGACGAGCGCCGTCCCGTCCGCACGTGATGAACAACCGCCGTATGATGGCATTTTGACAGATGGTGGCAAAACATAAACAATTGGGCAGAGCTAGCGGTCACAGCTAGCTCCGCCCAACTTTTTACAGTTGTAACATGGTGAGCCATGATTGGGCAGAGTCATCATGCCTTTGCCCAATCATGGCTCTCACAGAGTACTGAGCCCTGATTGGGCAGCCCTGAGTGGTCAGGTGCAAGCCTTTACCCAAATAGGGCTTCACAAGGCCCATTGCCTTGTGGGATGTTGAGTGGTTGAACAGACCGCGAACACCCTTAAAGTTTGTGTGTTCGCTGAACACAAGAACTGGCGATGTTTGAGTCGAACTCACATTCGACTCGAACATGCAGCCCATCCCTACTCAGCAACCATCAAGAGAAATGGGAGGCACCTGAGCTGAATTTCAAATGTTGTTGCAAAGGGTCTGAATACTTATGCCAATGTGATATTTCACTTTTTTCTTTGTAATAAATTCACAGACAGTTCTAAAATTCTGTTTTCACTTTGTCATTAGCCAATGCACCTTACAAAATGACAGCTGCCTCCTAACTTTTGAGTTTTTCTCTAGTCTAGTCTTGGACCTGAAAAAGGATCAGTACTTGTACCAAGTACCGTACTTGGTATCTAAAAACCCCCACCCCAACCCCCGCCCTGCACTTCAAGGGTTAACTGCTCATTTCGTCTAATTACTCGGTCCAGCCTAGCTGGTAGTCCAGTCTGGTAGTCCCTGCAGCCTCTCTTCCCCTCCGCTCTGGCTGTGGAATGTCCCTCGTTGTCTTCATGTCTGATATAAAACGAGATAACTTACGGGACATCAGACTGCCGGAGCCCAGGGTAGAAGAGGCTGAAGGATAGCCCCACTACAAGGATTAACTTTTCGAATTCCCAGAGTTTAATGTAATATTGACTTTTTATTTGGGTATTTTCAAAAATGTTTTCAAAGCATTTAAGACTTCTTTGTTCCTCAGACTATACACTAATGGGTTTAACATTGGAACCACAGCAATGTACAGTAAGGAAAGCAGTTTGTCCTGCTCTTGAGAATGTTCTGAATCTGTCTTCATGTAGAACCCAAGAGATGTTCCATAGAGTAATATAACAATGACCAGATGAGAAGAGCAACTGGAGAAGGTCTTGAGTCTACCTGCTGATGTGCGGATTTTTAGAATGGAAGATATGATAAATACATAAGAGGTCATTATTAGAACAAATGGAATTACCCCAATGAACAATCCCTCAATTAAAATGATAGTAATCATTTTTGATGTATCAGAGCAAGAGATTGCTAGAATTATTTTAAGTTCACAGAAGATATGGTTAATGTCCTGTAACATACAGAATGATAACCTAGACACCATCAGTGAATGCATCAAGCCGTTTAATCCACCGGCAATCCAACATAAAACATTCAGCAGAAAGCAGAGCCTGTTGTTCATGATGACAGAGTAGTGAAGGGGTTTACAAATGGCTACATAGCGGTCATAAGCCATGGCGGTCAGAAGGAAGAATTCTGCATCCAGACAGAATACAAACATAAACATCTGCAATATGCAGCCAGGGAAAGATATGCTGGTGTCCCCCGTCACTGTGATAACCATGAGCTTTGGTAAAATGGAGGAGATGTAAAACATGTCTTGTAGTGAAAGGTTGCACAGAAAGAAATACATAGGAGTGTGCAGCGTGGAAGCCAGGCAAACAAGGGATGTAATGAGCAGGTTTCCAACTAATGAAATCAAATACATTAATAAAATGCTTATAAAAAGTATTGCTGATACACCTTGAATTTTTGAAAATGCCAAAATATGGAATGTTTGAAGAATGGTAACGTTATTTGCATGTCCATGCCTGATTAACAATAGGTTTAAACATATGTTTTATTAGAACTTTTTTCTCTATGTACTACACAAATTCATAATACAGATATATATTAAAGGATAGCTGTACCATTATTTTCTAGAAGTCTGTGACAGTCTTATTGTCACAGGTCGGCTAGAACTATGAGGTGAGTGAAAAGCAATCCTTTAACCGCTTGAATACCGGGGTGTTTAGACCCCCTTCCTGGCAAGGCCATTTTTCAGTGTCACAGCGCTGTGCAGGTATGCGCACCTGACGCATGTTTACATGCGTGTATGTAGGGGTGGGGACTATAAAACATTTTTTTATTTTTTTTTATTCTTTTTTATGCGTAACTTAAAACATTTTGGGGGGGAAACTTTAAATTTTTTTCCTATTTTTTTTTCCACTTAACTTTATTGCTATCACATAGGGGGCTAAGACACCCCTATATGTGATAGCAAAAGAGGTGACAGGTCCTCTTTATGGAGACATCAGGGGTCTCCAAGACCCCTAATGTCACCTAGGACCCCCCTGAAGAAGCTGATGAAGCAGTGATCTGCTTCATCAGCTTCTCTCCAGCATCTGAAGCTGGAGAGTGACACGAGAATGCGGAAGTGCTGTAATATACACTACTTCCGCATTCTGACAGCGGAGAGGGGACTGAAGGGAGATCGTGAACCGACCTCCCTCTAATCCCCTCTCAGAGAGTCACTATGCTGGTCCCGGGCTCCCGGGGGCCGCAGAGGGGGGGCGCACATATTGGAACCCCATACAAGCGATCCGCCGGCTCTATAGCCGGCGGATCGCTTGTATGATAACTGGCATCGCTGCCGGTTTTTAAATTATTCGTCTTTCCCGCTCGTGCGCAGCGCGCACGAGTGGGTAGATCTAACAGGACGTGTATACACACCCAGTTACATCCAAGAAGCTCCCGGCCGGCCTTGTATACACAACGGCTGGCCGGGAGGTAGTTAAGGTGACTCTGTGCTTTGCCCACAGAGGGCAGGCAAACAGGTTCCCTTTAATGCTGCCCTCCACAGAAGGACTTTCCTTTTACCTCCACTTTCCCCATAACCAATTGCTGTTAGCAGAGAAATTATGCCCTATGGAAGAGCAGAGTTTCTCTATTGAGAGCTTGCACAGGGCTGAGGACTGCCTCCTCCCCCTTCCCCAGTGCTGAAAAATCATCGTAGAGGAATGTGAACCTTCACAGACTTCCGAGAAGAAGAGTTGTGGGTTACAGGATCCTCGATGCCCAGAAGTACCAGATATTACATTTTCTGCCTAAACAGAGCATTAGGAGAGTGAAAGAAGGGTGAGTATTTGCTGCTGGGCATTAAAGAAAATCCCTTTTCCATAACTGGGTAAATTGCAGGTGTGCTTAAGTTCCTCTAAAATGTTGAGTGTCCGAGAGAGAAAAAAAATGCTAATTGACTTAAAATGAAACTGAACTCAGGAGTTGAATCTAAAAAATGCATTCAACTGCCTTAACTATTACCAAAATTGTATCTTATTTGTGTATCACTCGGCTGTAGATCCCCAAATCATCTCTGAATTGGTGCTGACACTGTCCTTCCTTCTGGAGGGTAACTACTTGTGTCCCCCATGGTCCATGTGTGTGTTGTAAAGTAGTCACTGCTCAAAGCTCACTCCCGTGATAGACTATAATCTCGATAGAAATTAGCAAACTAAACATGAGATTGCAGTCCATCCCGGGAGTGAGCTTGGAGTGGTGACTTCTTTACAACACACACAGGGACCATGGTTAATAAAAGTAGTCACCCTCCAGAAGGAAGGACAGTGTCAGGACCAATTCAGAGATGATTTGAGGATCTACAGCCGAGTGATACACAAATAAGAGACATTTTTGGTAATAGTTAAAGTGACATTAAAGTCACATCTCCCCCCAAGCTGCTCTAAGGACTTAACTTAAATGATGCCTCTTGATCCGATCATCTTCTTCTTTCCAGTAATATTCAGGAGTCCCTCAAGTGCTGGTGCCGGTCTCGGATCCAGCACTGACTGCTGTGTCTTCTGTGTCCCATGGTGTCTGTCCACGTGCATGCTGCCGGCTGCGTGCATTGACTTACCCTGTGTCCCTCCTCTTCTCCTGGCCAAAAATCCCTACTGCGCATGCGCCTGCCCTACGATAGAGATACAGAAATATAGAAAAAGAGATTGAGATATATAGATGTAGGGTCAGAGAGATAGAGAAATATAGAGATAGAGATTGCGATAGAGAAATACAGAGATAGGTCCTGTTGATGCTTCACAGCCGTTCAAAAACCTTCAGAATTTCAGACAGCAGGGTGCAGCAGAGACACAGGTAAGTTTTTACCTATTTGGTAGCAGTAGATATATGCCAAAAGAAAAGAACAACAAAGGATTAATTTTACTTTAAGGCACTTGAATGTATTTTTAAGATTCAACTCCATAGTTTAGTGTCACTTTAATATTGCCAAATAGATTTACTCTGTGTACATACAATTGTTAACTGTATTTATTTATAGTAGGATTCCATGGTTCTTTAGAAAATACATAGACCCTTGACTTTTCTCTCTGTATACCAAAGGAGCATGAGCTTAGGGATGATTAAGTAAAAAAGGATGGGACAGACATAGGAAACTTACAATTTTCTGCACCCTGGTTTTATTCATCAGTTTGGGAGACACTTCAGTTGGGTTGAAGTTTATCTGGTTTTTAAAGTGTTTGTCAAGCCAGGTTTCTAGTTTTGGATAGAATAGAAAAGGTTTAAAATGTCTATCAGGTATTTGCTGCTATTAGGGCTCAAAAAAAGAGATTTAACTTCACTTCCGGTGTTGCAACAGGGACAAAGACATAAATACAAATCTGTTATGAGTTCTAGCCTTTCCCTACTCTACATAAAAATCTGTGTTTTGATTCTTGGAGGTCCCTTCACTAATGGAGCCCTGGATAGCTTTAAAACCTGATAGTGGTTCTAATTCTTCCCCACTGTATCCAAAACTAAAAAAAAGGTTTGCCTTTGATATACTCCGCTCTTCTAAAGACCTCCTGCTTTCCAGCTCCCTTGTCAACCCCTCCCATGCTTGCCTACAGGACTTCTCTGGTGTCTCTCCCATCCTCTTGAACTCTTTACCCCAAACTTAGACATTATAACATTACAGGAGGACCTGGATAAAATAGGGGAGTAGGCATTAATGTGGCAGATGAGGTTTAATGTCGATAAATGCAAAGTAATGCACTTTGGAATTAAAAATAAACAAATGGGTTATACAATTATGGGTATGCCGCTAGGGAAGTCAGAAATGGAGAAGGATTTGGGGGTCATTGTAGACCACAAACTGAAAGGTAGTTTGCAGTGCCAGGCTGCTGTAAACAAAGCTAGCAGGGCTTGTCCTGTATTAAAAAGGGGATGTATTGCAGGGACAAGTCTATAATTTTGCCACTTTATAGATCATTGGTTCGACCTCATCTGGAGTACGTGGTCCAGTTCTGGTCACCAGTACTAAGAAAAGATGTCCTTGAGTTGGAAAAAGTCCAGCGGAGGGCAACCAAACTAATTAGGGGTATGGAGGACCAGAGCTACGAGACAAGGCTACTAAATTTAAACATGTTCACATTGGAGGTGAGGAGATTAAGGGGGGATATGATCTCCATGTACAAAATGTTCAATGGTGGTAGCAACATTAGCGATAAACTGTTTAAAATTAACTCCATTACAAAAACTAGAGGCCACCACCTAAAATTGGTGGAAAAAAAATTCCAGCACAAGGGGCGAAGGGGGTTCTTCACAGTAAGATCAGTTAGGGTCTGGAACTCACTGCCACAGGCGGTGATTTCAGCAAATAATGTGGAATTGTTCAAGAAACTTTTGGACGATTTCTTAAGGGACCGTAATATACAGGGGTACAGGTACTCCTAGAATGAGATCCTAATAGGTTGGACTTGATGGACTAATGTCTTTATTCAACCTCAAATACTATGTAACTATGTAACTATGTAACTTTCTGTCTATATCCCACTCTGACTGCCTTTAGGCGATCCCTTAGGACTGATCTCTTCATGGAAGCCTATCTCACCTCAACAGAAACCACTCAATCATCACTTTCTCAAACAATTCCCCCCCACACAGCTACCTCCTCATATATCACTTGCCCCTCCCTTTTAGATTGTAAGCCCCTCATGGGCAGGGCCCTCCTTACAATCTTGTCTTGAATTGTATTGTGATTGTAATGTCTCCTTATATTGTAAAGCACTGTGCAAACTGCTGGCGCTATATAAATCCTGTATTATATTAATAATAATAATAATAATATACACTTTAAGATGAATATGGTTTTAATAGGCTTATTCTCTTTGGGAAGTTTATATCCATTTACTGCACTGTTTTAGTAATCTTTCACATAGGTCTTTTATAGCTTCAGAAGTAATATATTGCCATAAATTATCATTTTGTATTTTCTTTATTCTATTTGGGTTTGTTTGCAATGGCAAATATTACCATGTACCCTTAGTTATGTGCATTTTTTTTCCATGTTCCCTCTAGATCTTTTTTTTTCTTCATGTTCCCTCTAGATCATGTTCTCATAGTGCCTCTGCCCCTTTAAATATGTATCTCCGATTCCTAAGCAATCCCTATTAAATTTAAAATGATATCTACAATGTATTTTGCTCTATTTGACTGAATTAAACTTTGATACAAATGTATTAAATCTAATTGAATCTAATTTGGCACACAGGATAAAACTGTGAACACGTTACAATTGTCCAGACAAAATAATGGTAAACAGTTTCTTGTATAGAACCTGTATAAGCTCTGCAAAATTGAGCCTGTTACTGTGTGAAATGTGTAAAAAAGGGAAGTCCTGAGAGCCTGTGCGTGCCAGGATTAAGATTGCTACAGTTTGTTTAAATATGGCTGCTTTTTCTTCATTTTGCTTTTGTACAAAGTGACTGAGA